CCCCCCATCAGTACACTGGGGCCCTGCGGGGGCAGCACCGCTCCCTGTTATTGCAGGGGGCACGTTGCCCCCCAGGTGTAGCCAGAATCCGACCCGCTGTGGTTCCTGTGACTCTCCTGCCCCCTAGTGGCTGGTCTGGAGACGCGCTGCTGCACATGGCCCCGCGCCGGGCACCCCGTCTCTCTGGACATGGCCAGGGAGCGCTGCCCTGAGAACAGGGGGCTCTGCTCCCTCCCCTTCCCCCTTGTGCCCCTGCTGCCCACACAGATTCCCCTGCGCCCCCAGAGGGTCAGCGAGGGCGGCAGGGCCGAGCCCCCAGGCAGCCCCCAGCAGCCCCCAGCCCAGATACAGACAGTGGCTGGGACAGAGACTGGCCTCCTGACACTGCCTCAGTGTGATGCTGGGCAAGTCCCTTTGCCAGCCGGGGCTTCGTTCCCCTGCCCCAGATCTCGGGTTGGGGCTGCCCATAGAGTGCTGCGTGTGGAGCCTCTCCGTCACCTGCTCCCCCCGCACACCCAGTACAGCTGGAGTCATTGCCATTCTCCGGCTGGCATCTCGTGCCATCGGCGAGGCCTTTCCTCAGACCCGGCCGCAGTGTCCAGGCATGAGGGGCGGCTCCACAGTGCAGTCGGCCATCACGCAAACCCCCTCGCCAGGGCTGCGGGAGCCGCTGTGGCCCCGTCTCCCAGTCAGCCCCAGCCACACTGCCAGGAGGTGCCTGGGGGAGCGCAGGCAGGGCAGCCCTGAGCCCCGGCGGCACGGACCAGCCAGAGCTTCACTCCCAGAAGCACCTGGCCCTGGGCTCGGCGGCGAGCACCTGGCCAGCTGGGTGGCGTCGGCCGGGGTGGGTGGCACAGGCAGCCCGCAGGAGAGACCAGCCCGGTCCCCGTCCAGGTCAGGATTCCTGTGGTCTGTCTGCCACACACAGTGTGAACGTGCGCTAGTGACCCCCCCACTCTGCCCCCCCGGGAGGAAGGGAAGGAAGAATCACGGGGTGGACGTGACGTTCCCCAGGCTACCCACCGAGTCAGTGTCAGGAGGGGGCAAGCTCCCGATTCACTAGGCCCAGCTGGCCGGCACGCCACCAGCCCCTCCCGGCCCTGCCCGGGGCTCCGGCAGCCTGCGGCGCTCACCTTCGGGCATGGGGTTGGCAGTGACAATGCACTTCAGCAGCACCTCTGCGCCCACCGTCACCACAGCGTCCTGGATGGGGATCTCGAAGACCGGGGCCTCCAGGGGATCCTCGCCGGCGGAGACGTACGAATCGTCGGATGACTCTGAGCGGGGAGAGATCAGCCCGTGGCACTGAGCAGGGACAGGACAGAGGCTGTGCGGAGCCCCACAACGGCTGAGCAGAGGGGGCAGCAGCAGCTATGGGGAGCCCCCAGCCCACCTCCCCCCAGCAGCGATTCATGCACCAGGGTGGGAGTTGGGCCCACTCCGTTGGCGATGCTGTAGTCGGGCTCTGCCCTGGGGTGCAGCCATCTCTGCTCCGAGCTACGCAGGGGAGAGGCGTCTCCTGCTTTACCCAGCTCTCCCATTGCGCCTTTGGGCTCTGGGACCTGAAACGCCCCTGGATTCCCACCCCTCCCCTGCCATGGGGGGCATCCCTGAGCAGCAAGTGGCAGCGGTCCCCGTGGGACACCTTGGCCAAGGCCAGGGACTGAACCAGGGACCTGCACAGCTGGGCATGAGCTGCTCCAGCCAAGGAGCCGGGCGCCCTGGCTGGGGCTTGGGGACCCCTGCTCCAGGGGGGCACATGGGGGTGTATTGGGCACACAGGCTGGGGCTAGGGGA